CCCTTCTACACTAGTACATAATGTAATACATAACCTGACAAACTTCTTTGTTCTGAGTACTGTGACTTTCTGGGCTAAGGTAGGGTTCCCCAAACTTTCTGATCTCTACAAAGAGTTTATATTATTCTATAATCCTCAGAGTTTTTATTAATGCAAAGTACTTCTAGAATATACACCTTTGTGCCATTCCTCCATAAGTAAAACTAAACCACTGACACTGGGGAACACTGGGGAACTTATTATTTTGGAGAACATGGTATGTGTAAATAATGCTGGTGAATCATATATAACTCATAGTACTTTGTCTGGTCAAGTAAAAATTAAAAACCAAGACAAACTGACTGCAAATTTCAACACAACTAACATGTTCACCAGAGAAAAAATATCCAAACAGCATCCTACCAGACTATTTCCTCAAAGACAATAGCAGAGTATCGAAATCTTCACTGTGGGATAATACAGTGCCAAGGGAAAGACTACAAGATGCCATTAATAAAAAAATAAAGAAAATTGAGACAAAGGGGGTGAAAAATTATGGATATATTTGCTTATAAGGGCAAAAAAAAAAGACATAGAAAAGGCCAAGCCTTCTTCACCTCAGCCTTTACTAGTAAGAGTGGCCTTCATGAATCCTAGGCCCCTGAGACCCGCGGGAATAGAGGGGGATCAGACTAGGGAATATGTAATAATCTGGACATACAAGAAGTCCATGGGACCTGGGAAGATACTCCCAAGAGTGCTAAAGGAGCTGGTCTCATTGTGAGGCCACTCTCTTTGAAAGGCCATAGTGATTGAGGGAGGTTCCTGAGCACTGCAAGACAGCAGATGCTGCAGATATCTTCAAGAAGTGCAAGAAGCCAGGGAACTATAGGCTGGTCAGCCTTGATTCCTGGGAAGGTGACGGCGCAACTAAGCCTAGATAGTATTTCTAAATACATGAAAAACAAGAAGGCGATTGCAAGTAGTCAGCATGGATTTATGAAAGAGAAACCATGCTTAACTATCCTCATAACTTTCTATGATAAAATCACTGGCCTAGGGGATAAAAAGAAGGGCAGTGAATCTCTTAGCAGCAGTGAGTGTTTATCTTAAATTTATTAGGGCTTTTGACACTGTCTCCCATAATATCCTCATACACAAGCTCAGAAGTACAGGTCAGGTAAGGACTGAAAGATTGTAAGGTGAGTGGATTGAAATCTGGCTGAACTGCTGGAGTCAGAGGGTTGTCATCAGTAGCACATAGTCAAGCCAGAGGCCAGTCATTAATGGTGTTCCACAAGAATCGATTACTGTTTAATCTCTTCATTGATGACCTGGAGGACAGGACTGCTTGCACCCTCACCAAGTTTGTGGATTATACAAAGCCAGGAGGAGTGGCTGATGCACCATATGATTTTGCTGCTATTTAGAGAGACCTTGACAGACTGGGGAGATGAACAGAGAGGAACATCATGAAGTTCAACAAAGGGAAGTACAAAGTTCTGCACGTGGGGAGGAATAACCCCAGGCACCGGTACAGGCCAGAGATGACCTGCTGGGATGTAGCCTTGCAGAGATGGAGACGGGTGTCCTCATGGACAACAAGTCTAATATGAGTTAGCAATGCACCCTTGTGGCAGAGAAGGCCCAACGTATCCCATGCTGCAATACAGCACGCTGCTCTCAGGTGATCCTTTCCCACTACTTAGCACTGTACGCTTACATAAAGTATTTTTAGAATTGATGCAGCTAAAAAGATAATTATGTCCCTCTACATTTAAGTGTAGCTAAGACACAGTCTGTAAAGAAGCAGATGATGTACATGTCTGTTCTATTAGAGTGATGAAAAAAAGGGCACTTGGGCCTATTTCACCCTTTATATGTATAGGTGTAGTGACAGTGTTACAATGACAGCAAGGACACTTGAACTGTAATGACACTCTTATTCAAAAGTACTAAAAGCTTGTGCATTAGGCCCATGTTTAAATGAAAGGAAATCCATGCAAAGTTCGGACTACTTGTAATACCTTCATCCTTATGTCATCCCTATCTTCCAGAATCTCCTCTTCCTACTTTCTCACCCTCTCATCTGCGCATTTTCACTTGCCAGGATCCAAAACTCATGTCCTTTATCTTGTAAATCATTCTTTACTATTTACACTATTTACACAAATGTCCCCCACTATCCTTCTTTCCTGAACAGAAGCTTCATCACAGGACAGACCAGGAACTCTAAACCAAGATCAGATTCCCATATACAAGTTGAACCATTATGTAAGAGACCCATGTGTGGAAATGTGCACAAGAAAGCAATCAATCAAAAAAATGAATGCAGTGGTGGCATGAAACCCTTTGCTCTGGAGAGTTTTGGCACCATAGCTGCTAGCAGCAGATGAAGCCTGTCCTTGCTGTAGCTGCTGCCAAGCAGCTGACCTGACTTGAGAAAGGATTTTCCTATGACCAATGCTGTAAGACCCCGAGAAATGCAGCCTTATGGACTGCTTTTACTACTTCATATCCTTTTCCCCATAAAATATGTCCTTCCATCACATTGCTTTCTCCCCCACTATTAATGTCAGTTCCCCTCCCCTTTTACCCATTCGCTTTGTGTCTCTCCAGGCAAGAACTAACTACTGTCACATTCACTGACCTGCCTCATCCAACAAAACCTTACACTTGACATATCTTTTCATCAAGATTGAATAATATAGAAAAAAAAGTCTTAATTTATCCAGTAACGATGATCTGAATCTGCATCTTTGGACTCTACTGCTAAAATGTTGCCTGTACTATCAAAAACTTTTTTTTTTTGTATCACTGCAGTAAAAGCTTTGAGGTCTTTTAAAAACAAACAAACAAACAAACCTCATTGGATTAGATGAACCTTTACAGATTTGTCTTACAGTCAGACTTTGACAGTAACTCGCCAAGATGAAAGCTTTGATGGAAGCTTTTCTGGAGGTTCGCACATCCACAAAGCTCGCCTCTCATGTGGACTCTCTAACAGTATCTAAGAAATTTGTTGGAATTTACTTTCTTTCGAACTGTGCTCAAGTAACCAGAGTGGGGAAAAAGAAACAAGAACAACTAGACAGACCCGAGAGGCCCCGGCTGACCGGCCCTCCAGCGGCAGGCCGGGCTGAGGTCCTCCTGAGACCCTCCCATCGAGTGTTTTGGTTTATAACCCAAACACTTTAACGCACACGGCTGGAGCCGGGGAGCGGCCGTCGCGACGTGCCTTTGTCTCCCAGGGGTTTTGTGCGCGGGGTGGTACAGCCCAGCCGGAGCCTCCCCCCGCCCGCGCGCAATGGTAGCGCCCTGCGCGGAACCGTTTGAATTCGAACTCCCAACGGTCGCTCCTCCCGCCGCAGGTGGGCGCTGCGCGCGGTGACGTCACGCAGACGCACAGGAGGAGGGCGTGCTCCCTCCTCCCGGTTCTAACCCCGTTCCCGCTTTGGTTTTGGGCGGTTTTTCCCCGCTTTCGGGTCAGGTCGGCGGCAGCTCTGCGCACGCGCACTCCCGGCTCTCCCTCCCTCTCCCTCCTCGGCAGCAGCCACAGCGACCCCATTCCCCTCTTGCCCTCGTTTGCTGCTGCCGCTACGTTTCAGGTGAGGGAGGGGGTTCCGGAGAAAGCGAGCGCAGGGGCGGTCACTCCCCCTCCCGCCCGCAGCGCTTCCCCGCCGCCGGGTGTTCTTTTCCCCGGGAGGACGTAGCAGCCCCTTCGGCAAGATGGGCTGCACGCTGAGCGCCGAGGACAAGGCGGCTGTGGAGAGGAGCAAGATGATCGACAGGAACCTGCGCGAGGATGGGGAGAAGGCGGCCAGGGAGGTCAAGCTGCTCCTTCTAGGTAAGGGCCGCGCCGAGCTAAGGCCCCTTCACCCAAGTCCTGCGGTAAAAGCCTGCCTTCCCCCCTCCCGCTTTCCCTGAGCGAAGTCGTCCGACCTCTCCCCTCTCCAATCCTGAGGTAAATTTCATCTCCCCCTCCCACCCTATCCTTCCCCGTGTTCCTGAGGTAAATTCCATCCTCTTCCCCCCTAGTTCTGAGGTAAACTCCTTCTTATTCCCTCCCCCCAGCCCTGAGCTCAGTCGTTTCCCCTTTCCCGCCCCGAATCCTGAGGTAAATCGTATCGTCCCCCCGCCCCGCGTTAAGGAGGGGCCCCCGCGCACGCGGCACAGACTCTGCGGGCGAGGGGCCCCCGCGCCCGCGCGCCCCGGCCCCGGGGGGCGGGGGGCCCCCGCTTCGGAGCGGCCCTGTAGGGTGGCTCCCGTTAAACACCCCCGGGAGGACTCGCTGGGGTCGGTGCTGGTGGCTCCTCGACAGTTTTTGGACTAAGGAGAGGAGCAGCAGCCTGGTAAGGCAGGTAGGAAAACCACAGTTGGAGGCAGGGCCGTAGTGGAGAAATGCAACGGAGTAGCTTGGCCAAAGGTCTCCTGTAGCATCCATTTAAAGCAGGTAACATTTTAAACTTATGTGGTGGGTCCTGTGTACATCCACTAAGCGGAGGAGTTTATGGAAACTTTAGGTTGGCGGATGTTTGTTCCTAATGTTTCTTGCAGAACGTCTGATTTATAAACTGTTTTTGTAGATTAAAGTGCACAAAGCAGGAAAGAACATGAGCAGAACCACCATTTGACTTTTTGTATTCTTTGTTTTTGTGGAAGCTGCTTATGTTGGTGAAATCTTAATGGGGATTCTGCGGTGTGTGTAGTGAATCAGCCCACATGCTTTCTTGGGTTATTAAACTTTGCTCATAATTACTGGCATACTTTTTGACTGCTTTAGGTGCTTTAAGTGCTTGAGAATATAGATAGCTTTAAAAAGGGGAAATGAGATTTTTAATTAGAAAGCACCTTCATTCAGAACTAACACTATTGTACAACTCGGACAGCTGAGCAAACTGTATTGATGTTGAAGTGACTCTTAACTTGGCCTTCTTAACAGAAACAAGAGAGGGTTCTTGTAAACTGGAGTTAAAATGTTGGTTTTTTTTTTTCCACTGGTGCTGCCCCTCCCTTCTTGAAGCTACAGTTTCTAGTCAAAATTTTCTAATTATCAAGCAATTTCTCACTCCCTTCAAAACTGATTATGCTAAATACTTATCTACAATATTTTTATCACTAAATAATCATTATTTAGTGATAACAGTAGTTTTATTAAAAAAAATCTTTTTGAAAATTTCTTTTAAAATGACTCCAAACAATTCTAGGGAAGCACTTTCATATGTAGGTGAAGAGTTGAAACATGCCCAATGCGAGCTGCAGGGCAAGTGTCCTACAGTCCTAAAATCTATATGTATAGATTAAATCTTGCTTTTGAGGGGTTTTGGGAATTTTTTTGTGTGTATTTTCCAGATAGCACACTGCCAACCAAAATAAGTCTTAGTTCTGTGAGGCTTTGAAAGCCTCAGTAATGGATTGTTGAGTGTGAATGTTATCAGGTATGAGATCAATAGTAGTAGTGCAGAAGATGTTCTTATGGTCTCTTTTGAATATGTTGAACTGATGTTTTGCTACATGTATGAACTGATGTATGCTAGGCATCAGTTCAAAGACATTTGAAATATTTCTTTAGAATTTTTCTGTTTTTATGAAATTTGCAACGTGTGTAGTATTGTCATCTTTGTTTCATTGTTTTCCCTGGGTAGGGATGAGTTCTGCATCTATAGAAAATGCTTTAATTTCCTCAATCTTGAGATTGAGTTTTGCCACTGTATTTTTAGTTGCGTAATGTTCTTATTTATAAAATCCAGGTTTACTAACTTATCTGGCAACAGTACAAGATAGTATAAAATGTTATGTGAATACTTTATCTGCTGACAAAGCTAACTTGGGGTACTTGCGCTAGAGTCACTCTCTTGTTCTGCACTCACTTTCCCAATTTTGATCTGTCCACGTGTTACAGTTTATCTTCTATTTGGTTGTATTGGTGTATCTATTTATGGATTTGTTCAGTTAAAAAGATACCGCAATAAAAAGAACAGTCCGAGCTGTAGTGTGCTGGCAGGAAAAGGCAATATGTGAGGCATCAAAAATATCTTGCTTATGTAGGAAATGTTCATGTAGTTATTGAGCCTTGACTCAATAAGGGAAACTTATTCCAGGATCTGTAAAAAAAAAAAAAAAAAAAAAAAAAAAAAAAGTGTGTGTATATATATATATTTACATGGTGATTAGAGAATCTTACTGATTATCTCTTGATTGAGCTAATAGGTTAAACTGAAGGAAGGCAAGTTTATAAAATTAGTTTATTTCCAGCTTTTGTATTTAATTTGTTCCATTATATCTTTTTCCCTAAATGCTTGTCTAAAACAGGAAATAGCACTGATTTAATTAAGAAGATTTGACATTACTGAAACTATTGTGATTTAGTGATTAATGTAACTAATTTGTGTGGTTTATATTTTCTAGCCTATTTATAGGGAGATGCAGCTACATCTAAGTGGTTAGAAATATTGTTGCTCCAGGTTATCTAACTTAGATAAGATTTCTCGTCACTGTGTGTAAATTTGACTGTAGCTTGTAGATGAGTTGTTCTTGGAATAAAAATCCTGGATTCTGAAGAATTATCTGTCCAAAACAACGTTATCCTTATCCTATGCATGTTGATATGATATACCAGCAGCAGGAGAATCTTTTCAGGAAAATTTCTCCAAAAGCAGTTTTCATTATTAGAAGGCTCAATTTGAGTATGTAGTTTATAAGCTAGCTGGAACATGCTCGTTTGTATATGGAGATTGGTGGTTTTCCCCTCTCTTAAATCATTAAATGAGCTTTTTAAAAAATAATCTTCAATTAATGCCTTCTATTTCTGATGAAGAAATACTTAAATTGCATAGGAATTTAAAATGAAAGGTGTAAGTGCTGTTCAATATACTGTCAAACACTAAGAATCTAACATGTAAAAGAATCTTTCACTTAAAGGCCTAATATTCACTTCAAGTCGATATTTTTAAATGTACATTCCCGATTATTTGAGGTAATCATGTGGTTTTAGTGTTTTTTTGTTTGTTTCTTTTATTTGTTTCTTACAAATAAACTCATATACTTACTGTGAGCTGGATTTCTGAAGAGCAGTATATACCTTGGCTAGTTTTCAGGTAGATAAATCTAAAATCTGTTTTTCTTCCCTGTGGTTCATAATCTTAACTTGTGTTGCCCAACAAATAAATCTGATGCTTCCAAAATGAATGCAGTTCTACTAATGCTAGGAGGTGGTGTTTGTGTTCTGCTTTTAATATACATGTGATGCAGATCAAGTGTGGATTTAGAAATATTCTTCTATTGAATTAGCCAGAGCACACAAGACTGAATTTATGCCAACTGCAGAACAGACAGTGCCCCATTTAGCAGAAAGCCGTCTGGTATGAAGTTATTCATAGTGTTTTTTGAATACGTTGAACCTGGCAATGTGAGTTTATAGGATTAGCATTTTCTTGTGGATTGTTGAATTCTTCACCTAATATAGTAAACTTGGCATTCAGGTTCTTAGCATCATTGAATTAGGATGCCTTCAGATGTCTTGCAAAATTTTTTGGAGTGGGTCCCTGAATCTAGAAGACCATAGGCAATATATTTGTAAGACTGCAGTTGTTTTGCTTTCTGGATAATGACACTTAAATTTTTAAGTTCAGTAGATACTTCTGTACACATGACCTGTAGAGGCACTATTCCACTTCTGAACTATTTTGTGATTGATGCTGGAACAGAGGTGTGCCATGCTCTTAAAGTTATCTCTCTTTTATTCCAAGACAGAGCACTGGTCTTAATCTTTTTTTATTGCAGTTCTTGCTGCTTAAGGCAGGAGCTGGAAAAATCATGTGCCATTCTTCTGAATCTTCACATCCCAACATCTTTATGTGTCTGCTTCTCTTGTGTTAGTGACTTCTGTTTGTTCAGTCAACTACTACCAGTCTGTACTCATCTTCTCAACAATATTGTACCAATAGACCTTGAAAATAGCTGTTTTCCTCCAGACCTGGCTTCCAATATGGTACATGAATATACATGCACACGCTTTTTGTAGTATTATTTCTCTTGCCTTTTCTCCAGTATATTTTTTGCAAACAACAACAAAGGACTTTGCAAGGCATATGGAGCTTATGGCAGTTCTCAAAAACTTGTTTGTTACAGATGTCTTCAGAGATGTTGGCATTAAGTATTATGCCAACCTTGATTGTCCTAATCTAAAAAGTTTCTGATAAAAATAGTTCTATCACTTACATGGGGGAGATTCATCATCTCTAAATGCTGATACTGTGCATGCTCCACCTGTAATATTTTGTATGCCTGTATAAACTGATAGTGAAATTAAGTTGTTCTTCATATCCTGTTAGTAGGATACAAAAAGTAATTTTCATAAAGCTACTTGCTTTAAAGGCATTAGTAAAAATAAATGAGTATGCGGTATTTTGGGTTTTGGTATAAACTGTACATTGTTTTGTTTTATGCATGCTTTTTAGAACTGTAATGTTGTGCATGGGATGGAGAATATACTTTTCAAAGGCTCCTTATTAACTATTTAGTGTAATGTAAGAGTATCTAGGCAACCAAAATGGAAAGGCAGTCTTTACAATTGTTTCACTAAACTGACAGTTTTTAAAGATGAAATCAATGTACCGTAATGAACAATGGTATGTTGGATTTGTGAGGCAGGCTCATAATTTTTGATTTGTTGTAGGACTCTTCATTTTTTTAAATGAAAGAACTAATCAGAAGGACAGCTGTTACAATTGAATGGCTGCATGGATCTTATCCTTCCATCCTTAAAGTTTTAATATAATTTCCTACATATGTGTTTTCTACATGGATGAAGCATATAGCCATTGGCTGTGATATTGATTCTTACCC